TATATGTGGGGGCTGCTGAGGAATGCATAGTTTCCAGAAAACAGATTTATCTGTCCATTATAACCAGGCTTTGTATACTGCAGGACCCACTTCTATATAGCAGTCAGGGTTACAGTGACATAAAACAGAAAACCATCAACTATATTTAGAAAGGCTGATCTTTTTTTTTAAAAAAAAAAAAAAAAAAAAGCAGTGGGAGAAAGAGTGAAATGTTTGGAGAAATGTACATAAGCAAGTACAGTGTAGATGGGGAAATGTGTCCTTTTTCAATAACATGACAGCTTCCAGAGAATTGAGGAAGTAATTTTCTTAGCAGGAAAAAGTGGAGCTACTTCTTAAGTAAATATGTAAAGACGCACTTTAGAGGTTCCTCTAAAGTAGGTCCCCATGTGGAAAGTGAGGGCTTTTGAGGTACAGCCTATCAGATTACCCACTCCCATCTAGCCTAATATAATGGGTTTAGTAGGTAGAATATGGTGGCAACTAGGAACACCTGTCCTGGAGAAGGCTCCTCTCGTAGCTGTGACTGCATCAAGTCTTTTGGCCCTTGCTTTGCTGTTGTAGATCCTTATAAGGTAAAATTAAGTCATTTTGTAAAACTATGCCTCACTTTTATATACATAAAAGAAATAGCAGTCATGAGGACAATTTGGCAGGAAGTGCATAGAAATGGAATTCACCAGAATTATTGGAAGCCATTTGACCCTTGGTTTACCCAGGTTGGCCTGAGGATCTATGTTCTTTATAACGTAATATTCAGAGAAAACAGAGATCAGAGAAAACCCTGTTGAAGATATTTTATAGTTTTATCAACTGGACTAAGGAGACATGTTCACTTGTTGAAATATTCACTTTGTAAGCTAAATAATATGATTGAATATATAAAAGAAAATGAAATTTAAAAATGTAAAAATTTTAAAAAATAAACAAAACCAAACAGTGAAAAAAAAGAGAGATAACCCTGATTCTAGATCACAAATAGAATGTCTACAGACATACTAATTTTAACAAATGATCTTAGACTAAGTACAAAACATAAATGAAAGAAGAGCAAACTCAAAAGAGTTGTCATAAAATCTTCCTCTCCTATTCTTTCTTAAATCTATTCCAGTAAGTTTTTGGGCTTCCACACTAACAACTGCCATGGCCATGATCTCTAACAGTCATGTTGCCAAATCCACGCAGTTCTTAGTGTCCATCTTATTTTAGCTATCGGCAGTATTTGACATAGTTGATATCCCTCTCCTTGAAACACTTTCTTCACTCTGTTCTGGAACATCACTCCCTCTTTATTTTTCTCCTCCCTTCTTAGCCCTTGTTTTTTTCCCCATTCATCCTCCTTTGGTCCAGGCTCTCAATAATTTCATCAGCTCAAGGAAAAACAAAAAGTAAATCACTGGATATGTGTAAATAGGGTATACTGGAGAAAACATTTCTTAGCTGGGAGTGTTTGTAGCAGCTGTACCTGAAATACAAGTCATGAATGGACTCTGCTCCCTCAAGTCTATAGGAAAGCAGTCTGTTATTAGGATCGTGTTACTTCTGTAATATGGAAAGCAGAGCAAACTCCTCTCCAGAGGGCCTTAATATTATTCAAATACTGAAACTTCACTACACAGTGGTCATAAAGCTCAGAAACATAGGCAGATGTTTGTCACATTGAAGTGACCAAATAATGTCTGTAGTTCATAGACCAATAAAAGGTCATCCAGAGAGATTCTATCAGAATGGTGCAACACCTCATCATGCCAGAGCAGTAGGGTAGCTTGCCCATGCAGAGACTGACACAAAATCTGCATCGTGTACCATCTTCATTGCAATTTTGAACAGCTCATTGTGAATGAGGATGGCACAGTGGACATATCATATATTATAAGCTAGTATCCGTAAACTACTTATGTGTATTCCCTATTTCCAAATGGTATAAACACCCTGTAGAATACTCTTCCATTTAGCAAGGCAGGTAAATGTGTCCTGACCTATTCTGGTTCTACAGTTCAAAAAGCTAATAGGCAATACGAAGAGGTCCTGAGCACCTAATAAACAGAGGGATGTTCAACCTCTACAAAATTGCCCAGCAAATAAACAACACAATTCATATCTGTGTGGTCTTTGATGTACAACAGACATAGCACTGGAAACTTTCACATATCTACTCCATTTAACCCTTATGACCTCCCAAGGCAGAGACAGTGCTTAATCCTCTTTACTACTGTAGGAAGTGGGTATTAATGCTTTTCAGATTCCAAGAGGTTAAGGAACTGAGATTTAGACTCATGTCTCTGCTTCTCTTCTCCATACCACAATATTTCATTTTTACAAATTCATAAACAAGGGCTTGAAGACGTTGTAAAATTTTGCCTAAAATTGCATTACCAATATATGAAAAAGCTGATAATCAATCCTTTTTTATTTTGGAGTTTATATTCTTTCTATTATAGAGCAGAGTTATTATATGTCCTTTTAAATCAGCAATAAAAAGGGAAGAGAGAAAACAGGAAAGAATTTGGGGTCTGAGTCTTAAGCTGGAGTGTGAGCTTGATATAATAAAGAAATAACAGATTTCAGAACATTCATTATTCTGTATTTCTACAGCCTTGAGTAGTCGAGTTGAAACTATCCCAGAATTAGAACAAATTAAAGTTGAAATCATTGAACAGTTATTCCAGTGGACAGGAGCACAGTGCTAATGAGGTCAAGGTCAGGATTTCAGACTGCCCACCATTTCTCTGTTGTAGAGCCAAATTGCAAAGTTCCGCTACATCACCAACTCAGAAACCAACCCTGTGGTTCACAAGAAAGACCCGGTGAGAGAACGTGGATCAACACACTTGGTATTGCTGCCGGAAAAAACAGTCTATAGCGGATGGATCCGAGTCACTACCTTAATTTTATAATTAAAAGAGAGTCATTTACGTGGAGCAGAAGAACAAGCAACATGAGATTTATCTGTACATTCTATTAGATGCAAAGCTACTAGAATATATTAATGCATATTCTATGTTCAGAGACCAGGAGGAAGTCCTACTCCTCTGCGCTGCCCCAGCAAGATTCTATCACCCTCCTGGACCCCTCCAGTTCCCTAAGAGGCAAACTTGATCCAGCTTGAAATACACAACAGGAGAATTGGACCACCTGATCATAATATACAGTCACACAAAAAAACGATTAGTATGTTTCTTCAAAAGTATTAAGAGTTCAGACCAAATTTAATGAGATTTAAAAATTGTTTTAACAATGAGTTACTTTGGAGAAGTATTTTTTAAAAAGAAAAAAAAAAGAGCTAAGCTTTTAGGTTTAGGAGAACCTCTATTAAATTGGAAATGTCTGTTCTCTTTAGCTCTCACATCAGTGAAAAGAGGTCAAGAAATGAATGCCCTCATAGCATGGAGAGCACAGCAAGGTACTAACCTTTATTTTTATATGTTCATAAAAATCATGAGTACCATTTTTCAGAAAACTACAACAAAACAGGGCAGCAAATACACAAAATGGTTTTCCTTATGGGGACTGAAACTAGAAAAGAAATACATCCCTTTCCCAAGATTTCAACTGGAGAACAAAGGCAGCTCTGTGTGCAGTTTATTTTCAGGTGACTGTGATTATACTGACTCATTCTTTTGCCCTAAGAAAGACTGGTCTTTGAAAGAAACCACTGGCCTTGGTTAGATTTCTTGGCAGCAGGGACTAGGAGAGTCCTGGGTTCTTTTTCACACCCAGATCATATGAGGCCAGCATCTTTAACCTGTTTTTAAAAATGAGTATTCAGTTACTTGCCAAGTAGGATTGAAGCCTTTTAGGTCCTAAAGCCTACAGTACATGGCCCTTGCTTTCTGCCCCCTTTTTTAAAATGATTATTATTATTATTATTATTATTATTCAAGGGTCTTCAAAAAGTTTGTGAAAATGGACTTAAAGTATGAGCTTATTTTAGTGTAAAATATTGGGTTGTTGGAAAAGTCATGACATTTTTGCATAGAAAAACAGAAAAATATGTCATAATTTTTCTAACAACCCAATAATTGTGAAATCGATGTGCAGTGTTTTCATAATATGCACTTTCCGTGAGCGTTTTGAAGACTGCTCCCTCAAATATGTTTGCACATGCACATCTGTAGCCAAGAACTGATTGCTAATTTCTCCAAAGGACTTGGTTGTCTAGTTGAACATTCCAAATGCTATTTCAAACTGCACATCCTAGCTTTCTATTTCTGGCCTGCCTACTCCTATGGCATGGGTATATTTAATGCTCTAGCTGTCCTTTCACACCTTGAGTCTCTATCTTGGCAATGATATCTGGACACACTGGAAAGAACCATCAATTCCATTTATAGCCACAATAATGAGCTGGTACATGAACGAAAGAAAGAAGGCATCAAGAATCTTTGATTCACCAACAATTTAGACTGGCAGTGCCTTGAAATGTCCCCAAGTACATAGGAAATGTGCTTGTAGACATTAAACATCACATTCAGTGAATTAGTCACCCACTAAAACACACCCTGCTTTAGTGCTTGGCACAGCCATACCTGCCTAAATAAATGCTTCCTCGCTCCGATGCTCTCCTGGCTAGAGGTCAGCTAGACAAATTTATTTTCAAGGATCATTGTCTGGGCCCTTACTTTAATTACAGAGAAGGAAGTAATGGAACTAGTCAGGACCACGGTCTGTTGCCTCGGTGTGAAAAGGGCAACTCCTCCTCTTCCTCTTGGAATGTGGAAATTGAAGCTAACTCCCCCATCACTAATTGAATCAAAGCAATAGAGCTGAATTATCTACTTACAAGAAAGTCTTGCTCTTCTAGCCACGTGGAGGGAAAAAAGGAATATGCTGATGGCATCTCTGACACAGCCTTTTTTCACTGGGTAATGAAAAGGGTATACTTTGCAGAACTCAGGTTCAGAACTTCGCTTTGACATGAGTTATGGAGTATGGACTGATGTATACCCTGCTCAAAAGAAAAACCCAAACTGAACTGACTGGAGGCAAGAGTTTCTTACCTGTGTTTTCAAATGCATTCATTTCACCACTCTGTCTTCCCACCACATGACCCTATTTCTTTTGTCTGGTAAATGAAAATAGAAGCCAAAGTTAAGGTTAGTACTTGAAAAATAAAACTGGAAGCAAAGAGGAGATAAAAGTTGAATCATAGAACTTATTTATTTGTTCTTATTCATATGTAACATTTTATTCCTTTCATGCTACAGCTTTTGGTGTGGTGTGACAATATATCAGCTTCTTAAAATGCTCATTGCGACAGGTCTATACACGTCACAGATTAGCTAAACAACATGCGATTTGTTTTATTTAGTTAGTTTTTAGAGAGACTTTTTCTATAGAGCATGTGCGTTTACCAGAGAGACAGAAAGTGATAAGTCACCCCCCAGGAAAGACGACTATGCCACAGTCTCTTCTCCTCAAGTCTCTTCTTGGGATTTGGGGCATGCACACATATACGCTTAGCATGATTTTTTTAAGCAACGAGGTCTGGGACTTGAATCATGGTTGACTACATGGGAGTCCAGCAACATAACCATTATGCCATCTGGTTGTTCCACAATTGGTTTTATTTTTAACACCAATGGACTTTGGCCAGAATTAATTAATATGTTATCAATATCTGAGGAGTTTTAAGTATATGCAAAACAGCTTGCTAGGTAATATTCATAGCAAATACATTTGTTACTTGGGCTATTTATTTTTTTGGAAAGGACTAACAGGATAGGTTAGAGAATTTCACGTCACTCTTCAATTCTGATTTTAGCTTAATTTATCATCTGGTTTCACGGTTATCTCCTTTATGGTTTTAGCCTTTCTATTATATGATTTAACTGGAACTTGGTCATTTCTCTATACTAGCATTTGTATTTCCTGTCTCAACAGCCTCACCTTGAAACTGGACAAGTTCCCAAGGATATAATAAGTAAAAGTCAGGTTGAACTATTCTCTGAAGTTTTTTCTGGTGCCCTTTTCTAACAAACCGACTTTTTATTTACATTGACTCATGGTTCCAGGAGATTAGAAAAACCTATGCTGCTGATGCTGCTAATACTCAACAACTCCTTTTCAAATTGCCTAAATGTTAAGCAAATGCCATTTGTAATTAACTGAAAATTATCAAATGTCAGATTTGTAGCACTAGATGCCTACCTTTTTTCTTTTCTTTTTTTTTTTGAAAGTTGGTTATATACACTCGCTAGCAGAAAAAAATAACAGAACAACTTTTTTGTTTGTTTCTGTTTTTTAATTCACGGTGAACCTCAGTTATTTGACATGATTTTGACATGAGTTGTTCTAGTTGACCATTTTCTGATACCAGAGTGTTGACCATTTGAAGCATCAAGACATATAAAGGGATGGAACACATAGGGGATTCTGGAGTCTGCTTTTCCATTTATTTGTTGAGTGACCTTAACCTCTTTAAGCTTCAGTTCCTATATCTATAAAATAATAATCTATCTCCTTTGTGATATATGAAAAACATACCTAGCACATAATAAATACTGATTACAAAAACCACATTATTATTTTTTGGTATATAATCCTTATTTTGATTATAAGTGATTTTTTTTTTTTTGGAGAGGTTTTAGCTATAGGGCACATGCAATCTCCAGAAAGACAGAGAGAGACAGAGAGACAGAAAGCGAGAAATCACCCCCCAGGGGGGATGACCACTCCGCAATCCCTTCTCTTCATTCTACTCCCGGGATCTTGGGCACACATGCACATGTGCCTGGTGTGAGTTTAAGCCACCAGGTCCAGGACTCGAACCATAGTCAGCTACATGGGAGTTCAGTGACATAGCCATTACACTAACTGCTGGTCCCAAAACCACGTTATTAATACAGAGGTGTGGGGACCAGCAGCTGGCTTAATGGCTATGTTGCTGGACTCCCATGTAGTCAACCGCAGTTCGACTCCCAGATCTGGTGGCTTGAACTCACACGGGCATGTGTGCATGATTACCCAGGATCCCAAGAGGGGACTGGAGGAGAGGGGATTGTGGTGTAGCCATCCCCCCATGGTGGTGGTGGGGGAGTAATTTCTCGCTTTCATCTTTCTGTCTTTCTGGCGAGCACACGTACTCTATAGCAAAAAACCTCTTCAAAAAAAAAAAAAAACAAGAATACAGAGGTGTGTTCTCTCTGTCCCACCAGATACTTGCTACCTGAAGTAGAAAATGCCCATTATTCTTCTTGTAAGGACTGATAAAGCAGCATCCAAACAGAAGGCCTGTCTGCCACCTTGTCTTCACTGCATGTTCAACTCTCCCCATATCAGGGGCCTCCTTCCTGCCACTCAGTTGCCTCTGCACAGACACAGCTTCTATTCCCTGTTGAGTTCCACGGACATTCCTCCTTTCTCTTGTTTCTTTCTCCTTTTTGTCCTTGACTTCTTCACAGATAAACATTACCTATTAGCATACTCTTTATCCTCTCTGTCTTCAGAGAAGTGACCAACCATAGCACATTGGTCTTTGGTTCTTAAAAGCTTCCTTTCCTACCACAAAATACTTTCTCTCTTCCTACCCTGAATGCTTGAGGATGAAAACAGATCTAATCACTGATTGCCTGAAGTTTTGCTATGCCTGATGCCAAGAGTCATAATCAAAGCTAGCTACTCATGTCTGTCACAGCTCCTTATTCTGCAGGTCCATCTCTCATGCAACTGCTTAAAATATCAGTTACTTTCCTGTTTACTAATAATGATTGGTAATACTCAATGAACGTTGAGTGTGTGCCAGGGATTGTACTGAGTATTTCACTTGTAATACCTCATTTACTTCTTACCACAATCCCAGGAGATGATGATGATGATGATGATGACGACTGACAACAATGTTAATGACAGTGGTAGTGATGGTGATTATGATGATGATGTTAATTCTCATTTGATAGAAAAAGAATCTGAGGCTCAGAGAAGTTATCCAGCTACTAAGTGGTTAGGATACTATCACAGGTTGGCCCTTGCTTAAAAGTCTTTCCCTTAACTCCATGCATGATGCCATTTCTTATCATTTGGAGGAAGAAGTCCTTAGGCTGATACAGGTTTGAGTCACAGAATCCTCTATTGGGATCTCCTATTTACTAGATACAGTACCCATTTAAGAAAATGCATATAAAAGAAAATAAGATTTACTTTTCTCTTTCTGTTGGACTGTGTCATCCATCTCCAATTTAAAGACAATCACAAAATCCAACTCGGAGTTTATTTTAAAGATTCTACCTATGGTCACAACCCCTGGGCCATTGCGAAAAGTTCCCAAATCCACATTTGTACCAAGCAGAGTGTGAGCCTATTATCTGAATAAGTAACATAAGTAGAGGTTGTGGAAAGAAATAATAATAATACCAATAGATTGTTTTTAATTTACTGACTTCATGGTTCCTTAGTCACTGTTAATCATTTTTTTCTCTATTAGTAGATGACTAAAGTAAAACATTTATCATATGAATACCTCACATATTTTACATTAAAAGTATTTATACTCAGAGACTAATAAATGGTGTAATAGTTATATTGCTAGATTCCCATGTAGTAGACCATAGTTTGAGTCCCAGACCCAGAGGCTTAAAACTCAGGCCAGGTGAGTATGCAAGCATGACTGAAGTCCTGAGGGGGAAAATGGAGGAGAAGGGATTGTGGGGGTGATTTCACCCAAGGATGATTTCTCACTTTCTGTCTCTCTGTCTCTATGGTGAGTGCGTGTGCCCTATAGCAAAAATCTCTCTCTAAAAAAAATAAAAATAAAAATAAGGTATTTATACTCAGAAAATAGAGAACTAGACATGTTTGGATATGAGGCTTCCTTTGTTATTTTGAAAGGCAGAGTTGCTGCAGCAGCCTGAATTTATGTTGGGATCTCTTAATTCTAACTTCAACTCACTGCTTTGTGGGGTGGTACAGCCTGGTAGTAAGGAATGTTGGAGCCAGAATCACAGCTGTGATGCTGATTAATTGTGTGACCTTTGCAATTTACTCAGCTTCTCCGTTCCTTAGATACCACTCCACTACAATGGAAAAAATGATGTCTATCTGTTGTAAGACTTTTAAAAAGTATTAAATGTGATGCTCTTAGCGCAGTGCCAGACAAGTGTTTCGTCAATGTTGGTTGTTTGGTGTTCTTAGTAAAAGCAAACTCAGCCATTCCAAGGACTCACAGTCTGAAATGGCAGGGTTACACCCACTTTGGTTATGAGCAGACCTCTAGATTTAATTTGACTTCAACCCTGTGTATTCCTAATTCCTTAACTTCACTTTTCTCTTTTTAAATAACTCTTACCATACTATAACTAACTGTATAATTTATTTATTGTGCTTATTGCTTATAAACTACCTCCTTCATAGAGGGAAAATATCTGTTTTGTACACTGTTGTATTCGAAATGCATGGAACAGAATAGGTCACAGAGTAATTTTCAATAAATTTTGGCTCAAAAAATGAATAAATATAAGGATAGTTTGTCAAATGTCACTCTCAAAATTCCTGTCATCTTCTATTTTTCTCTAGCTTCACTCCTCTTTAAATATGATTTCCAGTAATCACATTGAATGTTGACTTCCAGGATTTAAACAGAAAGATTGGACCACAGTAACACTGCAAATTCAACAGAAGAGTGATTAATTACATGAGTCTGAACTGGTGAAATAGAATTTTATGACTTTTGACTAAAACATTACTGATTTTTTTCTCTGCTTTGTCTTCCAGATTTAAGGAATTTCTTTTCAAGCTGTTGATAGATTCAGCAATTTGTTAAAATTGTTTTTTTGTTTAAACTGAAACTTAAACTTTTCTCCCTTCCTGACCCCTCTGGAACTGGAAAATGTTTGTGAGTATTCTTATTTTGTGGCAGTATTCTTATTATTTGCATGAGTTCAATAGTACTTGTTGCCTTGCATCAGAAATTGGAAATACTCATATTTGGAATGTCATATCTGAAGACTGGGCCAGAAAGCTATGGAACTAAGGTAGACCTCAAGAGAGCTAACAGAAGCTCTATTGCCTGACACCATAAACAGTTCTGCCTGGCAGAGAGCTTTAGAGAAGCCAAATGAAAGAATT